CATTTCAAGAACAGATTTGATACATTAAACACTAATAAGAGAACACCTGGTGAGATGTTGCAGGACACCAAAACCATCATTCATGAAGAAAGCAAGCAAGCAAGAAAAGATAATAGTAGATGTCAGAAGAGACTCTGAATTTTGCTCTTCACAGTGGAGTAGCTAAGGCCAAAGAAAGAATTGAGAGTCAGAGTTGAATATAAAATTTCATAGGACAGCTTGAGAAGACAAAGCCAAATATTATAATGAAATTTGTAAAGACCTAGAATTAGAAAGCCAAAAGCGAAGATCATGTTCAGTATACATTAAACTGAAAGAACTCAGGAAAAAATTCAAGCCTTGAACTATTGAAAGATTCTATTGGCAAAGTATTGAATAATGCACGAAGCATCAAAAGAAGATGGAAAGAATACATGAGCCACTGTGCCAAAAATAACTAGTTGGCAGTCCATCATTTCAGGAGGTAGCATATGAACAAGAACCAATGGTGCTGAAGGAAGAAGTTCAAGCTGCACTGAAAACATTAGCCAAAAACAAGGATCCAGAAATACTTGGAATAACAATTTAAATGTTTCAACAAGCAGGTGAAACTCTGGACACACCTACTCCTCTCTGCTAAGAAATCTGGAAGACAATTACTTGACCAACTAACTGGAAGAGACCCATATTTGCATCCATTACAAAAAATGACTCAACAGTATGCTAAAACTATAGAACAATATCATGTGCAATTAAAATTATCCAGAAGATCATCCAACAATGTTTGCCACAGTACATTGACAGGTTGCTGCCAGAGGTTCAGGCCCAATTCAGAAGAGGATGTGGATAAGGGTATATCATTACTGATGTCAGATGGACCTTGGCTCAAAACAGAGATTACCAGAAAGATGTATACTTGTATTTTATTGACTGTCCTAAGGCCTTCAACTCTGTAGATCCCAATAAGCAATAGATAGCCTACAGAAGAATGGGAATTCCAGAACACTGCTTTGTGCTAATGCAGAATTTGTACATTGATCAAGAGGCAGTTGTTCAAATAAAACCTGGGAATACTGCATACTTTAAAATCAGGCAAGGTGTGTATCAGAGAAATATCTTCTCACTATACTTATTCAATCTGCATAATGAGCAAATAATCAGAGACTCTGGCTTATATGAAAAAGAGTGTGCTATCGGGTTTGGAAAAATGCTTATTAACAACTTGCAATATGGAGATGGCACAATCTTGCTTACTGAAAGTGAGGAAGACCTGTAGAATTTGCTGACAAAGATAAAGGATTGCAGCCTTCAGTATGAATTACAACTCAATGTCAAGAAGAACAAAAATCCTCAAAACTGAACTAATAAGGACCATCATGATAATGGAGAAAATATTGAAGTTGTCAAGGATTTCATCCTGTTTCAACACACAATCAGTTATCATGGATGTAGCAGTCAAGAGATCAAAGGATGTATCACATGGGGAACATCTGGTGCACAAGACCTATTAAAAGCACTTAAAAGCAAGATGTTATTTTAAGAAATAAGGTGTGCCTGACACAAGCCATGGTATTTTCTTTCTTTTCTTTTTATCCTGTGGGTTGTCATTTTATTTCTTTGGTTTTTGATGTTTATGCATTTTTTACATTCGTTACCCTCATCATTCTCAAAACATTTTCTCTCCATGTAAGCCCCTGGTATCAGCTCCTCATTTTACCCCCTCCCTCTCTGCTCCCCCGCCCGAATGAACCCTTCATAATTTATTAATTATTATTATTTTGTCATGTCTTACACTGTCCGACATCTCCCTTCACCCACTTTTCTGTTGTCCATCCCCCAGGGAGGAGGTTATATGTAGATCCCTGTAATCGGTTCCCCCTTTCTACCCTGCCCTCCCTCCACCCTCCCGGTATCACCATTATTACCACTGGTCCTGAAGGGATCACCCGTCCTGGATTCCCTGTGTTTCCAGTTCCTATCTGTACCAGTGTACATCCTATGGTCTAGCCAGATTTGCAAGGTAGAACTGGGATCATGATAGTGGGGAGGTGGGGGGAGATTTAGGAACTAGAGGAAAGTTGTATATTTCATCATTGCTACAATGCACCCTGACTGGCATCTCCTCTCTGCGACCCTTCTGTAAGGGATGTCCAGTTGCCTACAGATGGGTTTTGGGTCCCCACTCCACACTCCCAGTCATTCACAATGATATGATATTTTCTTCTTTGATGCCTGATACCTCATCCCTTTGACAACTCGTGATCGCACAGGCTGGTGTGCTCCTTCCATGTTGGCTTTGTTGCTTCTGAGCTAGATGTCCACTTCATACACATATAAAAGCTTTACAATGAATAACAAAGACAGAAGTATTTATGAATTTGAGTTGTTGTGCTATTAAAGAATACTGAAAGTACTTTTGACTGCCAAAAGGACAAACAAATCTATCTTAGAAGTATGGTCAGGGTGTTTCTTAGAGATCAGGATGGGGAAGGGGGAGGACTGCATTTTACATGCTGTAGACGTGTTTTCAGGAGAAACCAGTCCCTGGAGAAGGCCATCATGCTAGGTAGAGGGCCAGACAAAGGAGGGAAGGCCCTCAGGATAAGGATTGAAGCAGTGGCTGCAACAATGGGATGAAGCATAGGAATAATTGTGAGAATGGTGAAAGACCTGGTAGTCTTTCATTCTGTTGTGCACAATGTCACAAAGGGGCTGAACTGACTTGATGGCATATAGTAACAGCATAGAACTTAGTACAGTTGCTCCTTTGGGTCTTCAGAGACTATAAATCTTATAGGAAAAGACAGTCATGTTTTTCCAAGAAGTTGCTGGTAAGTTTTCAATTTCTAACCTTGTTTGTAGTAGCCCAGTGCTTAACCCACTGCACCACCTGTGTTCCTAACACGCAATATGACCAAAACTCAAACTCACTTCCATAGAGCTGATTCTGATTCAGTGACCTCACAGGACTGAACAAAATTACTCCTTGGAGTTTCTGTACTGCAAATCTTTATGGGAGAAAACACTCTCATCTTCTGTGACAGAGCTAAAACAACAACAACCAAGATCATTGCCATTGAGTCGATTCTGAATCATAACCATCCTACAGACAGGATAGAAAAGCCCCTGTGGGTTTCTCAAAGCACAAATGGAGAATGCTTGACTAGAGACGGAGGGGATTTTCTGGGAGTGGACTGCTGTGGAATCCCTGACGTCTGTCACAATCTTGTGGAAAGACAGTATGCTCAGAATGAAATTCCCAGACTCCCTCACACCCACGGGAACCCTTAAATAGCCCTACCTGAAAACTTTCACAAAGCCATGTTTCTGAATACACTTGTCTTTAACTCATGGCTTCCCTCTAGACTCCTAATAAAAATCCCCAGCATTACACCGACGTCTGGCCAGGATAAATCTTTCTCTCAATAAATGACAAGCATTTATTGAGCATTAGCATTTCCTCCAAAAAATAGTTGTTGGGTGTGAACATCCAACCTTGCAATGAGGAGCCCAGCATTTAAGTCATTTCAGCATGAGGTTCATTTACACAATGTAGCAGTTAATAAGTGAGATATGTATCTAAACTGGGGGATTGTGAGTACATTTTAACCTTCTATATTATTATTATCTTAAAGACCCAATATGGTTTAAAATTATTTTTGAAGGCCCCATAAAATTTAGAACAACAGTTCTTCCAAGAGATGCACATAAGAAATATTGGCATTTATTGAGAAAACAGTTTACTTTCTGATCCACTCGTTGCTGTTCTCGGGTGCCACCCATTCGGTTGTGACCCACAGTGACCTTATATACATCAGCAAGAAACACCACATGGTCTTGTAGCCATCATCACAAGTGTTCCTATGTTTGAGCCCAGTAGGACACACTGACAAAGTGGTGGCTGATCCACTTATTCCATTAAAAATATTTTAAAAATCCTATTGGACTTGCAAAGTGAGAAAACCATAACTGTTTCACATAAATCCATGTGCTGTTGGCAGCTAGTAATCATCAGAATGCATGCCCCCCTGTCCATGTTGTTGTTATGCACTGTCAAGTCAGTTCCAACTCATGGAAACCCTGTGCGCAACAGAACAAAACACTGCTTAGTCCTGTGCCATCCTCACAATTGTTATGCGTGAGACCATCTTTGAAACCATTGTGTTATTCTGTCTTCTTGAGATTCTGCTCCTTTTTCTCTGGCCTTATGCTTTAACAAGTATGAGTCCCTTCTCAAAGGCTTGGTCTCTTTTGATAATAAGTCCAAAGTACAGGAGGCTATGCCCTCATCAAAACAGAGTTGACCTGAATATCTTGGATAAAGTAAAGCTTTTGGAACATTCATATGCTAATGGTTCACAACTCAAAAAGAGAAGAAACAGCTATAGAAATCAATTAATAATTGAATCATGGAATGTACAAATTTGAATCTAAAACATTGGATAATTATAAAAAATAAAATGGAATATTTAAAGATTGACATCCTATGAATTAATGAACTGAAATAGACCACTATGGGATATTGTGACTTGAAAAATCACATAGTTTACTATGCTGGGATTGAAAAATTCCAGCGGAATGGTGTTGTATACAACATCAAAAATAACATTTTGAGATCTATCATGAAATACAATGTGTCACTGAACACATTTCAGGAGAGGCCAATACCCAGAGAAGGGCATTACAATTGGCAAAGTAAAAGTTCATTGATTAAGAGGAAACTGCTCTACAAAACAGATTGACCTTGTGACTTCAACTATAGTTTCCACATAACAATTTGTGAAGGTGGATAAGGCTTGAGCAGTATTTCATACTCTTGTATCTAAGGTCTCAATGAGTTGAAACCCATTCAATGTCACCTAAATATATACAGGAGCCAAAACACGAATATATCCTCCTTGATTTTAAAGACTGTCTCAAGAATAGATTTAGCACTTTGAACAAGAATGGTAGATCGGCCTTCCGGCCTGTCTTCTCTACGAGTTGCAAGCTGGCGGGGTGTGCGGTCGTCCTGCGTGGAAATGGCCAGCGCCGCTGCCCGGTCCCCAGCTGACCAGGACAGGTTCATTTGCATCTACCCCACTTATCTGAATAACAAGAAGACCCTCGCGGAGGGGCGGTGCATCCCCGTCAACAAGGCTGTTGAAAATCCAGCAGCTTCAGAGATTCAAGATGTGTGCTTAGCAGTTGGATTTAATGCATCTCTTGAGAAAAATAAAATGTGCTCTGGAGAATGGAATCGTGATGCTCTGTACAGGGGCGGAGTCCGGGTTCAGCTGAAACAAGAAGATGGCAGCCTCTGTTTGGTACAGTTTCCATCACGTAAGTCGGTAATGTTGTATGCAGCCGAAATGATACCGAAGCTAAAAACAAGGACACGAAAAACAGGTGGGGCTGACCAGAGTCTTCAGCAAGGAGAAGGAAGTAAAAAAGGAAAAGGCAAGAAGAAGAAATGATCTGGGGTGAGCATCAAGTCTGTGGTACTCCGGTAGGACACAGGAATGGAGGCCTCCCTTGTCTACCTGAGAGAAACTGAAGAAACCTGTTTGCATCTGGAAGGAACTGTGACTTTTTGTGCCTCCCAGCTACCGCATCCAAGTTGACAGTGAAATAAATACACTCGAACATTTTCGTCTAGCTTTTATGCAATATAAAAGAATTGCCCTTCAGTGCATTTTGTGGCTGAAAGAAGAATATTTTTTAAATGGAGCAATGAACTGTACCATAAGTTACCTGAAATCCTATGTTTATCCTCTGTGCAAACATGTTTGAGATAAATTTAACATTGGAGCCATATAATTTGTTCATCTTTAAAAAGTTAATGAAATAAAATTTGACACTATACAAAAAAAAAAAAGAATGGTAGATCTGACTAGTTGTGGAATTGCATGAAGAACATCACACATGAAGAAAGATAAAAGAGCATTGTGTTAGTCTAGGTAGACTAGAGAAACATTCATAAACACTCATATGTGTATAAGAAAGAGTTTTATATAAAAAAGTAGTGATATATTAAGAAAACATCCCAGCCTAGTCCAGATCAAGTCCCTAAGTCTGGTATTAGCCCATATGTCCAATACCAGTCTATAATTTCCTCTTCAGACTCACAGAACACATGCAATGATGCTGAATGCAGGAAGATCACAGGCCAGTGGGTAGAGAGTCTCCTGGATCCAGTGGTGGTAGAAGCATCTGAGCACTGGCATAGGTCTCCATGTGGCTCCTCCAGCCTATAAGGCTGTGGCTGCCATCAACATAGCTCCGTGGCTTGTCAATAAGAATGTCTTGCAGGGAGTGAGTGAGGGTCCTACCTCCTGTGAACTATTTAGCTCCTTAGTGCCTCCAAATGAGGTCATCAAGCTGCAACCTGATTGACAGGCTAAACTCCACCCCTTCACTTTTAATAGTCTCAAGTTGACAACAGATTATGCAACTACCACAGGCATTAAAAAGAGTAACAAAAGAAAGAAGAGACCAAAGTGTATGTCAGAAGAGATTCTGCAACTTATTCTTGAAAGTAGAGTAGCAAAAACAACCAAAAGAAATGGTGAAGTAAAGGTGTTGAACAGAAAATTTCAAAGGGCAGCTCAAGAAATGAAAAAACAATAAACAAATTCACTGCCATCAAGTTGACTCTGAAACACAGCAACCCTAATGGACAAAGCAGAACTGCTTTCTGTGGGTCTCTGAGACTAACTTCTTAAGGAATTAGAAAGTGTCATCTTTCTCCTTTGTAGCAACTGGTGGTATTGAACTACTGCCCCAGTGGTGTAGCATGTTACACATTGGGCCAATAACTGAAAACATGCTAACGGACAGAGCAAAACTGCCTTTGGGTTTCAAAGACTTTAAATTATGGGGGGAAACAACTTCATTTGTATTCTACAGATTACCTGCTATAGTTAAACGATCCAAACCAGTATGACACTAGGACTCCTAAGTAGAGCATTACTAAGAAGTGGGCACAGGCTTGGAGTTAGAAAACCAAAAGGAAGAACATGCTCAGTATATCTCCAGCTAAAATAATTTCAAGAAATTATTAAAACCACAAGTTTCATGATTAAAGAATTCTATGAAAAATATTTAACCAAGTAGGGAACATTAAAAGATTATGGAAGGAATACACAAAAACACTGGAACAAAATGAAATTAATGATATTAAACCATTTCAAGTGGTATGATCAGGAATGATTGGTAATATTATAAAGACAAAAATGCAAATAATGAGTTAGTGGGAAAAGGTCCCCATCAACATTTAAAAAGCTGGGGAAGAAATTGCTGTCATGGAACAACTAACAGATACATGAACCCAGTACAAATTCAGGTCATGTCTGTAGGGAGGTTGACTGGCCAAGCATTGAGCTCAGCCCAGCATAATCAAGACTACAATGCTCTCTGCCTGCCAGTATGGCTGTTTGTGATTCTTGCCTTTGGCTACAGTGAACCTGCCAGCAGCTTGTTTTGACTATGTACTATGCAGATGGGTTTTGGGCTCCCACTGTCCTCCATACCCTTCTACAAATGGAGTGTTCATAATTCTAGCTCTGATGCTTTTCTCATCACCATATTTGAGTTTTGTAATTGTCATCTTTGTATCACACAAGTTAGAGTGTTTCTTCTGCGTGAGCTTAGTTGATTCCCTGCTTAGATGGCTACTTGTTTGAATACAAGCCTTTAAAACTGCAGTCACTATTTTGATCAATAGCCTGGCACCATTTGCTTTCTTCACCACACTTTGGTATGATATCCTTATCTCCAGTGATCATTTCATGAAGGTGAGTATCGGGCAGAGCCATGATGTAAGAACTAATTTTTCTTAATTTTGGAGCTAGGATTTAGTGAAAACCCAGAATTCATCCCTGGATCTATGCTTTTTTTACATACTAATATGTTCTTATTCTTACCACCTTAGTGCAATTTGTTTTTCTTTGTTTTCTGTGGGGTGTCCCAACTATGAAGGACAGGAGGAGTAGATCTATTATGATAATCACTCATACAAGGTGCTGCAGGGAATGTCGGGTGAGGGATGGGTGATAGGGCAGGAAAAGGAAGGTTGGGAGTAAATAATGAAGGTGGGCATGGGGAGGGAGCACTGATGCTGATCGTGATTGCGCATTTGATTTGGGGGCAATTCAACCATGGGGGGAGGAAAGCTCAAAGATGAATGTGGTTGTGATTGTGCAGTTTCCCATTGATATGATCAAACGATTGAACTATTCAGTTGTTTGATGTGTAGATAATGTTCCAATAAAACTGTTTGGAAAAATGAAATATAAAGAGTGATTGGTATTGAATGAAAAAGGCAAAACTATGGAGGAGGTTCTGGGAAGTTGGTGCCGATGTAGGATCACCCACATGAACAGTTAGCCGTGGCATGACCAGATTTGTGGGCAAGGTAATTGTGTTGGGGGACAGGTTCTCACAACACCCCAGGCTCTATTTTGTCTGCTCTCCCACCAAGAATGCACCTGTCCTTCTCATGCAAGGTCCCTTTTCACATCATCTGCCCGCACTTTGCATCTCTTGCCAGTGCGGAAGCAACTCTTGGATTTTTTTCTTTTCCTCTTCCCCACCTCCCACCCCTGGTTTGGTGGCTCGCCAGCATGAGGAGATGGCTGGGGCTGTCTATAACTCAAAGGGCATCCCACGAAGTCCTCACAGACACCTGAAGGCCTAGGACACTGGAAACTGTGGCAACCTGCAAGGAGAGTTCCCATTGGTGAGAATCCCTAGCCAAGGCCCAGCTCCCTCCTGCACATTAATAGCTCCAGCCAGTTGGAGAGAGTTTCAGCACCAGGGAAACAGAGGAGATATTAGAATCTGCAAATCAGCGGGTTCTAGGAAGTCAGAAGAAGTGTTCCTATTTTGTTTTGAGAAAGGAAACACAAAATTCCTCACCCTGCAAGAAGAAACAGAACTGGCATTTCTGGGTTTCTTGGAGGCTTTCCCTCCACAGTCTAGACTGTCCTCTGATCAGAAGCACCTCTTCCCTGGGTCATCCACTAAAATAGCCTATTTACACCCTAGGACCACACATAAGGAACAGATCGTTCTGAGATGTACAGGAATCCACTGTTATAGGGACACTAACAGAAAGAGGGCACTCTCCCTACATAATACACAGGGTTGATAAGGGACCTTGGTAGATTCATTATACCCCTCCCATACCCCATCCAAGATAGCCTCTGGAAACTGTTCCCTCCATCTCAGCAACACACAGCCTCCTTTAACTTAGCAAGTAAAATCGCATCTCCCATAACCCTCTTCTCTAACTCATTAAAAATTACTATACCCAAGGGAAGGTTTCCTATGATTAATAACACCACTTAAAACCTATTCCAGAGCACTTAAACCCAATCGTCCTTCTCACTCTCCTCATACATGAACAATACATTGTCCAGCACCTATTTGATCCTCTCCTAACATAATGAGCCAGCCCCTCCCCCACTGCTCCATCCCCCAGAAGATTGTGCTCCATCATCAGCTAACCCAAGAAGCAACGCAAACAATAGCTAATGCTTGAAGCTATGGTGAAACATCTAGAGAAACAAAAGTCAATTCCTGAAGATGATCCAAACCCCACAGTTTACACAGAAAAAGCAGCCCTTGAATTTCAAATAAAAGAATGCTTTAAAATATAGAAAATTAGAGGATCAATTCTGAAAACAAATGAAAAAAATAGAGATATTAGAATCCTCACACCCAAGGGAAGTCTAGGAGTTGAGGAATAGCACAGGAGCAATAGATACCAATAGTGAGATTGACAATAGAATGGCAGAAATGGAGAACTGAATCAGTGCCCTCGAAGATAACCAGGCAGAATTCAGCAAATGAGAGAAATGCTTAACTGAAAAAGCAAAGGAATCTGAAGAAAGCCTGAGGAGGATGTGGGATGATATGGAACAAAAATATATATTTGAATTATTGGGATCCTGGAGGAGGAAGAAAGAAATAAGCCTACAGTTAAAATAGGTAGGGAATTCTTAGAGGAAAATTTCCACAGAGACCATTCATGAAAGAAGAAGCTAGAGCAATGTGTTCCAGAATCTGAAAGACACCAACTGCAATCCAAGACTCCTTTATCCAGCAAAGCTCTCCCTCAAATTTGAAGGACCTATTAAAGTTTTCTCTGATAAGGAAACCAGAAAATTTGTAAATACAAGGCCAGCATTACAAAAAATACTTTCCAGTTCTTCATGGGCAGAAAACCAACAACTACAGCACACAAACATGGGACCACCAAAGGGTATAAACCAACACCCTGAAAACAGTACCCCAAGCATTGCAGATCCAACGAAGATACAAAGACAAGGATGAACTACACACACATATGCACACACGCAATCCTATAAAGGAGAATACAAAACACAAATGTAGAAGATGACAACAACTAATCTACATTTAGATTCAAACACATTGCATGTTAATGGTTTAAATGTATACATTAAGAGACAAAGGGTAGCAGATTCAATTGGACAACAAAATCCATCATTTTTGCTCCCTTCAAGAGACATATCTCAAACTCACAGCCAAAAATAGACTGAGAGTCAAATGATGGTGAAAAATGTACCAAGAGAAAAGAAAAAAAACAAACTAATCTTGGATAAAATAGACCTGAAAGTACAT